AAGTGTGTAATAAACCTTTGGATCTGCTGTTGGGCCCTGGACATTTAAGGGGTTATATCTACCAAGATACCACAGAGAAAAACAATTTTGTTTCTGTCCTAAACTTAACAATGAAACAAGAGTAGTGATGTAATATTTGCAGCGTTTAAATACAAGCATGTTTTTTATTGAATACGTTATGTATTTTTTATTGATTTAAAAAAACATTTTTTAGATCCTAGAAATTATTAGGCTTCTCTGAAAATACAGTCCCATGTTTTCACATTGCTACCAAAAAGATTTAATCCATGGGTGGAGCATTAGTTTAGCCAGGCCCCTCCATTTTGGAGCAGGAAGTGAGGCTGTCCCTCATGGCCATATGGTGAGCAATTAGATCCCATTGTTTAGTAAATGTGTCCCAAATCTGAGAATCAGTGTGAAATATTAAGAATTGTCACTACTGAAACACAATTTTTACTGCAATTAATGAAACTTTGTGTTAAATAAAATATTACAATTTTATGTGCATACAGCCATTTTTTTAATTAGCTAAAATTAATTAGCTAAAATTGGTGCTATGGAAATAGTCATTAGAGAAACAGCCACTACTGAAACATTTGGTAAATTTTCTGAGGCATTTTTATAGTTTTATTCATAAGAAAAAGGAATGTTCAATCATTTGTCTAAATGAAATAAACATAAATATGGCAAAGTTTAAATAGAGTGGCAGAAAGCTGAAATTAAATCGGTTCCGTATTGTTTGGATCTGTAGCTTGCTAGCTAGATTATCGCTAGCTGCTCCTTTTTCCTGGTTAGCTGCAATCCTGGTTAACTTAGTTAGTGGGTTAGTGATCCAAACAGTGGCATAAACCACTTTGCTTCCACAAATGTAGAGGATAAAAACTCATCTGAGAATTACTGAAAAGTCACTGAAAGTCAATTGGCTGGTGTTGGAGTGACAGAAAGACAAAACTGAACGTGTTCTGTAGTGTTTTGAGCTGCAGCCTGCTGGGCTAAGTTAATGCTAGCATATTTAACAGGCTAAAGGTCCCTCTGACCAGAGTACAGGCTAAAATAATACCGGTTCATATCTGAGAACACAAAGTCGAGTATTGGAGTTGATTGAAAAAGTAACTGTAACTGGTCTTATGAGGCCACACTGAAGCAGAAGTGCATTGTATGGCCCTGGATACTATTTGGCTCTACAGTAAAGAGGCCTGGGTCATTCTCCAATTGGAGTGGGAAACCATGTCACGAAGGCTGCAGGGCTTAAAAATATGCTTAAAAATATGAGGCACCGCTCCAAAAGTCAGTATGAATATTTACACAGTTGACCTGAGATTAAATAAGACTTTTCCCTTATGATTTTTCAGATTTTTCTTTTTTTATCCTGTTTCACAGTCCATATTTTCAAGAGATTCAACTTAGGAATTTGTATAAAACAGATTTCTGCTTACTTTTATATCATTAACATTATACTACATTGAAAAAAATATGTATTTTATTTGACGATTCATTTGTCACAGAGATTTTGATCACTGGTGTTGCCAGGACTCTTATATTACATTTTAACACAGTACTTTCGGCTCTATTAAACTGATTCTTTGGGTTGAGGCTCATCAGAGTGGAACACAGAACTGCTGTGTGTCACCAGAGCTTTGTGATTTAATGGCTGGGTAATTAAAATTTGGTCAGTATAATGCCATATATCATTTTTGTTACCTATTTTAAACAGTTGCACAAAGTCACCTGACCGCCAATGAGTCAGCCAATTTACAAAATCCTCAGTTTTAACCAGAATGTCACTGGAGTCACAGTCACTGGTGTTACAGTATATAACCATATATCATATAACCAGTGACTGTAAAACATGTTTGGGAGTAAGCTCTCCATCCTTCATATATGATAATAGGAGATGGTAACAGATTATTTAGTTTTGGGATGAAAGAAATAGATTTTTTTTTAATTTATCCACCTGAATAGAACTGACTCCCCTTTAAAGTTCACACAAAAGGCACTGAGGTCATTTGCAGCTGTGTCCCTTTACTTTAATGGGACTGAATTTGGTTTATTTAACTGTATGAGTATATGTGAAAAGCCCCCTAAGGATTACCTAAAAATTACAAGCATACAAAAGCTCCATTTACCCTGCTGGTTTAAATCTCCCATCAGCCACTTACTCTCTTACCTCAGAGAATTACCAGGAGCTGAATGAATTCAGGCCTGAATAGGCACAGTAGTGTTGTTAGGGGTTTCTACAATCGTCCATGTTACTGCTAGGTCGAGAGTGGACTGACCACCAGCCAAAATTGAATCAGAAACTGACCACTGATGACTAGCTAGATGATGGAAACACAGATTGTGTTGACAGTTACAAACCAATTAGAATTTAGAATTAGAGTTTATTTCTAGCTTCCAATGATTTTTAAAGAACATGTTCAAAAACATCTCTTTCAGGCGGGGGTGCTAGAGGGCCAGATGTTTTGGGAAGACGGGGAAGCTGGTATCCCTGAGCAAGCAACAGCTGGTGGACTGCTCCCAGGGGTTTGGAAACGGGGGCTGTCAAACTGGTGGTTCGCCTGGTAGGGCGGTACGTCATTTCCAGTGGAGGCCTGGAGGTCCATATCAGGCCAAGGTGAGGTGACAATAATGACAAATGGAGCTTCTAAGGTGGATCATTTTCCCCTTATCACAAATGTAGTTGTTGAATCAAGACATTTGGTGTCTGAAATTTGTTTTTTTATGTTGCTAATGTAGCTTACATGAAATAGTGCCAACTGCATGTAAGTCATCAAACACTAGCATCTAAAATGTACAAAGGTATGTCAGCCTAGCTAAAACAGTAGCAGCATCTTGAAGCATCATTTCAAATTTTGCATGTAACTGTAATTATTCGTAATTATATATATATATATATATATATATATATATATATATATATATATATATACACACATTTTTTTTGTATGTTGTGTGTCCACTAAATACTAAGAAATACTGAGACTTGCTTTTCAGTTCAGTGACAAAATCTGCAGGGACATTTTCAAAACAAATCAAATCACATTTATTGTCACTTCCCATTAACACAGGTGTGAAGGTGAGTGAAAATCTTAGGTGCATAGCCCCCTTGTAGTACGTAAATATACCATTATGGTTTCAGAATAGGTATCCGAAAGTACTAAAAAATAGTTACTTGTACTCATACTCTGAAAAAATGACATCAATACATCCCTAGTACAGATTAAGATTAATTAAATTGTAATCCATTTCAAACTGTGCTGTACCCATAGTTAGTTTGCCTGTTAGACAGATAGTAGCACTAACACTAGAACAGTAGACAGGCAAATATGTCCACTTGGTTGGGTTTAATGTTAGCATTTGTGTGTGCTGGAAAAAGCTCAAATAACATTGGGCCTCCAGCCATTCTTAAAAAGAATATTTGTCCTAAAACCCACTTATGCAGTTTTCTCCTAAGATTCTGACATTCCCCAATGTTCTCTTATTTGGGATTTGTTCTTAGGTAAGAACAGAATCTACACACAGTCAAGAGCACAAAGGTGAGAACAGTTCTGTGCCTTCATCAACGTCATGAATCTGACGTTGACTTTTTCTTATGATCTTTCTCAAGAACAAATAAAAAAAAAAAACTTAGGAAGCAAGATATTAGTGAATTAGGCGTATTCACATGAATTATTTTACCCATACTGTCACTACCCATAGGAAAAAAATATTTCTTAAGATTGTCTCAGAGAAATAAAGCAGATCTCAATATTATATTAATGAAGGATCACTGATTTCTGAATTGTTTCTCCTTACCCCCGGGAAAGAAAAGAGGAGATTAACATCAGCATTCCACAGTGAGGAGTTCTGATGATGAAGTAGAAAAACATGAATTTTTCTTTTGCACTGACAGACGATGGTGAGATCTTACTCTTTTCTTATGGAGATATTATTCAGCTGAGACTGGGCTGACACTAAAGAATTAAGTCACATGTGTGACAATATTTTGATCAAAGTGAGAAAATCTGAGTTTTATGTCTCAGGAGCCGAATTTCAGAAAGAGGAGAAAATGGCCTAAGTCTCACTCTGATTTTAAACTGGACTTTACTGTTTCTAGAAGAAGAGGAGATCTCATTTAGAGTATTTCTTTCCTCTGGGTATACACCGATGTTAATACGCTGTTGTAAGCTTATTAATTGTTGCCCATAAGAAGGTAAATATTAGCTACTATGATTAGCCAACTTATTTTGTCAGGGTATAAATCTGCTTCTTATTCAAATTTTCTGTTCCACTGAGGTAAATTTAAAAGAGTAGCTTTATAAAAGAAGGCAAAAACACTCTTAACGTTCAGTATAAGTTGATGTCTGAAGTTCCATGTGTTCTGTTTTTGCAGGTTTGGAATGTTTAAGTTTGTCCAAAGGCCCCCATAGGGAGTGGGCCTCTCTCTAAGTTCCAAATAGATGAGATCATTTTAAAAATGACCATATGTTCTGTCTCCTTTTTTAACAACAAGTACCCTATATAAGCAGTTGGAATATTCTGTTCTGGAGTGGACACCTTAGAATTGGCACGGATCCTCTCTCAGGTACTTTATAGTGCTTGATATGATACTGTTTTACTTTGTAATAAACATCTTATACAAGTAAGGTGGTGTCAGCGGAGTCTCCTTCATCACCTTCACATCATTGCTACTTAATAAACAACACAACCTTAAATGGTGCAGCACTTACATTCTGAATTCTGCATTTTGCTAAAACATTTAAGGTGGAATGAAAAATTCTTCTGACCATAAGCACTCCTTCAAGCATTAGGTCCTCCTTAGTGCCAAGAAAAACAGTCCTATTTAAATCATCACCATGTGCTGCCTCTACTGAGGCACATGTCTGTGTGCAGAGATATGGGAGTGAATTTGACTCTCTGTGGTATCCCACCAGCTGCGGTTGCTCTTGTCCAGTGTCTTAGCTTTACTGATTAATTGAGTAATTTAGTGATTGTTTAATGGCTGAATATCCTAATTGCAGGTGTGCATGATGAGCCAAACTGCAGCAGCACTAACGTGACTCACGCTGTCCTGATTGTTGGTTATGGCACTGAAGCTAACAAAAAGGACTACTGGCTGGTCAAGAACAGGTAAACAAACAGGCTAATAAATCACCAAAATGACAATTCCCAATTATAGTTAACACTAAAAGAATACTGTCGAGGCTTTAGGAGCAGTGTCCTTCCGTCCTTCAACAACATTACTGACAAGTGTTTTTTATATATTTTTTTTAGTTTTGTTATCCACAAAATGAAAAATTCTGCTTTTTGACAAAATTAAAATAATTTTATTATTATTGATGATGAAGAATTGATGAAACTGAAATAACATTATAAACAAACACAATACGTTAATGCTTTATTCATTAGCTTAGCTAACTTGGGAGCACCCATAACGTTTCAGACTTCAAGTTTATGAGCTACTAGAATGTAAGTGGTTGCACCAAGTGACATAGTTTAAATTTATCTTTATCTTTTATAACTTAAAATGTATGCATAACCTGTAGTACATGGGTACAGGCAACCCAAATGTGAAGAAGAGCCATTGTTTTCCGTTCAACTAAAAGGAAACCACCTTTGGAGCCACAATATTTTATATCCATTTTACCGTCTACGCTGTAAATGTGTGTCAGTATGTGCTAATGTACTAGTATAGACTAAAAATATAATGTTAAATAAATTAAAACAGACTTACTTTGCTCTACTTTAAGCTTTAGCTCAGCTATACCAGCTTTTCTCGCATCTCTGGCAGGAAACTTAAAAGTAGAACAGTTTCTCGATTTTTTACGTTGCTGAAGTTGGAATCTCATTCACCATCTTATTCTAATTTTCCTGTTCCACCTTAATTGGTGCCTGCAGAATGTAACTGTGGCACCATTTAAGGTGGAATGGGAAAATGTGAAGAAGCTGGTGAATGAGAAACTGGCTTAGCCTTGTGACTTTTTAGTGTTTGTCAGTTTCTCGCTGCAGATTAATTATATCAGGAAACCAGTATATAAATGCAAATAAGTCCATTCATCTCCAAATCATCATCTTTGCCATTTTGTTAGCTACTAGTTAGACGAGATTGTTGTCTTGCTATGGTGACCATCATTCTACAGGGTTAAAGGGTAAATAAGGAGTTCTACCTTAATGCCAGTGTTTGTTAAAACTGTGTTAGAACTAACTATTAGCAATGCTTTATTTTTCTGCAAAGGAGGATTTTTCTTTAATTTTACTTCTCTATTCTAGTAAATAATTCGATTTTTCTAAAAATGTTAGTGTTCTTACTTGTTACTATCTAAGTTCATTCTTTTAGTTTATTTTAATGTGTTTTTATTATATATTTTACATTTGACATTTTATGCCTGTTTTCTATATAAGCTGTCATTTTTTTTATTTTTATTTTTAATTATTTTTAATCTAAATCTTTTTGTCTTGTTTTTCATATGTTTTAGTTGGTAAATTTCATTTCAACTTTTTCAATTCCTTGTAATTTGCTCGGCTATATTGTAAATGACTGTCATCCTCAATGCACTTCCAAGTCGAAATAAAGGTTGATAGATTGATTAATTGAAATGCTAAATTATATTTAAAAGTCCTAGCCAGCATTGACTGCTCAAATACATTATACTGGGAGAACATTGTACAGTCATTTTTCAAACTAGCTTTGGATTAGATATTTCTGAATGTCAAAGCAGCCTTTGGAAAGCTATGGAATCACATGACATATGGCATGATACCCTTTTCCATCTCCCCTTTTTTGCATTTTGGCTTTTCCAATATTCTAAATTTTTCTACCTCATCCTAGCATAAAACTCTTTTTGCGATATTTGGGTATTTCTTTTTCCAAATTTCAGGCTTTTCCAGTGAGAATTCTTTTGTGAATTTTCAAAAATCTGGTAGTTGGAAAACCTGCTCATGTCAATTGTCAGTCATGAACAATCCTCAGCATTGCAAGTTGAGATGCTGAAAGTTTCTCCTGTTTGTTTTGTCTGTTAAAGATTCCTCTTTGGCTGGCTCAGCTGTTCAGCCTTTTTTCATAAAAGCTACTCCATTTTGTTTTCTGGTGCTGTTGCTAGTACAGCCATGAAACACGCAACATACCATGGCTATATTTTATCTGACAGGACGCTTTATTAACTACACTGCAAAAAAATGATATCTTAACAAGCAAAAAATAAATGTAGTCAATAAGTCTAATATTTCCCATTATGAGACTGTTGTAAAAATATTATGAGATTATTCCTGTTTCTGTATAAGTTTACTTGTTTTAAATAATTTTATCTAGTGAAAGTGTCTTATTCCATTGGCCAATTAGTTTACTTGTTTCAAGAACTAATGAAGATAATTTTGCTTATTTCAAGAAGCAATGCTTCAAACAAGTGAAGTGATCTGCCAATGGAACGAGACGCTTTCATAAGATAAAACTGCTTAATGCTGAGTAAAAAATGTCTAGAAAGGAGTTAAATAATCTTGCAATATTCATATGACGGTCTCATAATGAGAAAAACTATATATATTGACTACATTTAAGATGTTTACTCTTGATAAGATTTTTTGCAGTGTAATGCTGTACAATGAAGATGGCTCTATGAGCACCACTGTCAACAATATGATGGTGATGACAAGTGTGACGTCAACTGAATACTATCTATAGGTCAAATTTGAAACTTTAGCCAAAGTTACAATAATACTAATTGAGCGTTAGCATTTTTATGCCGTTTCCAATGTTATGTTAGAAACTAGCTAGCAACTACCTAGTACTGTGTTTCCCACACTGGGTTTAATGCTTCTTCTAGCACATCCAAAAGAATCACCTTGTTTGTAGCTGTTTTACAGTGAATTCATTAATAGAAGCAAATTTAATGTCTGAATAATAACAAACAATAACATTTTTGGGTTAGTTTTTGTTGACTAAAATACAGGGAGATTCACTTTTTTCAATTTCACGAAAGAGGCCCCAAATATTCTGCAATAACTCTCTCTAGGATGAAGCAATCTGAACGAAACAACATGCAATGTGCTCCTCAGTATATGGAGCTTCAAACAAGCCAGGATGCCCCTGCGTCAGAGCGATGAGGTAGGCGGCGGACAGCCGTCGCGATGTTTAACCGCCGTTTGCAACTTCCTTCATTAAAGGGGTTCCAGTCCTCATCCATAGAGATCTGCACTGTTGGGTTCAGTTCCAGCTGCCCTTTGCAGACATTTTGAATAATGTACCTCTGCATAAGCACATCCTCGGTGAAGGGTTTGTTATTAAATATCACAGTGTGTGTCTGATAACTGCGTGCTCCTAATGACCTATAACAACCAAAATCTGAGAACCTCCCCAATAGAAAGTTCACTTCATTTACTTGAATGTAATCAGTCTAAGAACAGGTTTTATTGATTCTAGGTGAAACTGAACTCTGCAGGTCAGGTGATCTCCTGGAGATGAGAAAGAATCTCCAGAATTATAACTGAACTGCATCAGTAAATATGTTTAAAAAAAAAAAAAGTCAGCGGTTGCTTTTTCAACTTTTCCTTCTCAATTTGGAGTGGTGTTAGCTTTAGTTAAGCCCCTGCAGTGCTTCTATCCTATTAGTAAAATAAGCATTGTCTAAAAAATAAAATCAGTGTGAAATATTAATGTTTTGACTGATAAAAATATCGAATAAACTCATCATTCAGCATTCACAAAATTCACAACGTGTATTGGCTTTAAGTATTGCTGTATTTTATTCTGTCTACAGAGTCTTGATCATCAGAAGGAATGGAAGTGTATAGCTGGGTGTCAACAGCATAGCTATGAACATTTGGTAACCCTTTCTTTTACAGTCCCCTAAGTTCTAGATATTAACCAGGTAAGTGTGAGGTACAAACTCCAAAGTACTAGGTAATTATTTTAGGTAATAAGATGGTAAGTACCAGGATAGACTAAATTAATTACACTGAAATGTCTCACAAGTTCTAGGTAGTACCCAGGTAAGGGTAAGGTATAAATTCCAAAGTACTGGGTAATTATTTTAGGGAATTAGATGCTAAGTACCAGGAGAGTCTAAATGAATTACTATGAAATGTCTCACAGGTTCTTGTCTTTGACACAGGTACTAGATTGTCAATATTAGAGAGTATGTATCTCTGTGTTATAATGCATTTACCTGGATGTGAGTAGGAGATCAGGTCACTCAGATCTGTAGGGTCTTAAATAGTATGTATCTGTCTATTACCTAGATACAAAACTGAATCTGAACTCTAAAAGAAAGCAAGGACTCCTTCTATGGTTTTACTGGGTTCTTACCACAAAGTTCAGAAAAACTGCCACTTGTAATACAAGTGTAAATGGACTGTAAGAGAAAGCAGGATTCGTCACAATGGTAATACCTGTTTATTGAGGCCTTTTGACAACTCTGACTTTTGACACAATAATTCCTGTACATTACAATGTACAATATTAAACTTTATCAGGTATCTATAGTCAAACTGTGTTGTAAAAGGAAATGGTACAAATGACCATGATTTTACTCTGTTCTTGAAGCTTTTCTAATGTAAACCATACATACATAACTGAACATTTCAGTATATTTGGTAAGTGCAGCCAACCTGCCCTGTAAAACGAATGCACATGAATAAAATAGTTAACTTTGATTTCAGCGACGCATTTAGTAAGTAAACTGAGACAGTGACATCGACAGTGGTGGTGAAACATATTTTATTCATGTGCAGCCACTGTACATTTTTGATTCAGGTAAATTCAATACACTATTTTTTCAGAGTAGAAAGCTGGTGTAGTTAATGTATTAGACATAAGTTTAGTCAGTTGGCCAACTCAAATGGTTAAGCTGGTAATTAGATTAGATTAATTTATTTGGTTAAACAACATATAGAATGGTTTCTTTTGTATTTTTTTATGGTGTAGCTGGTCTACCACCATGAGCAGCTAAGTTACATCATCAAACTTAACTAAAAACGTAACTTTGCCTTATGCTTGTTTGCAAAATTTAATGGCATACTGATCAGCACAGAGTATGTCATTGTTGCCATGGCAGCACGATGCCATATAGGGTTAACTGTCAAACCTGCTAAGGTCCACTTGTTCCACTGTTGTTGTTTGTTAATAATTAAATGCTAATTCATATGTACTGTTGTTAAATGCGTAGAGTACATCCACATTATAAAGTTTAACTTGTTTTGTTATGCTTTTTTCAGAGCCATGCCTAATATTAGGACAACAAAACGTTCCACCAAAGGTCCAGGGGTTGTCCACTCTGAACAGGAAGGTATAATAACTGTCCAGTGTAAGTTGAGTTTTAAAGTAAATTATTATGTGTGACAGGAATTAAGTCTGTTGGGTTAAAATAGGCTTTTGGTAGTCCAATTTCCAAATGATGTTTTTTTTTTCTTTATGAACATACAAGCCTAACATGGACTTGCTGAAAATCCATATGGAAACCTGATGTGATATCATGTTACTTATTACAAGGATTATTGCAGTAAATTCTCTGTTGAATTTATGATGAACACAACATGAACACATCATACATCCATGTAAGCCTTAAAGTTGTGTTTTGGCAGAAACACCACGGCAAGCCTATTGTGTTCTGAGATGATAGACACACACTCTCTCTCTCTCAGTCTCTCTCTTTAGTGACTGCGGTCACACCAGCTGCAGCACCAACTGCAAAAGCAACCATTGGTAAACTCCACAAGGAGACCAAGCGGCTCAATAATGAAGTGAGGGTCTTAAAAGAGGAGAATCGTCTTCTTAAAGAAGAAAAGGACTCAGCAAGACAGAGCATGGGAGCACATCTAAATCTGCACAAGATATTAAAATCACTCTTAAAACTACAGCCCCTTGTTATATTGATATAATCCATGGTTTGATTGATGTTTTGGTCAGTTTGCATTGCAAATTGTTATTATACCATTGAACAAAGGAAAATCATTCAAGATCATTCAAAGTTGCACATGTCCCAGTCATTTTGGTTATTAAACATACACAGCCTGGCCAAAAAAAAAGGTCACACACTCTAATATTTCGTTGGACCGCCTTTACCTTTGATTACGGCTCACATTCGCTGTGGCATTGTTTCCACAAGCTTCTGCAATATCACAACATTTATTTCTGTCCAGAGTTGCATAAATTTTTCCCCAAGACCTTGTATTGATGATGGGAGATTTGGACCACTGCGCAAAGTCTTCTCCAGCACATCCCACAGATTCTCAAAGGGGTTCAGGTCTGGACTCTGTGGTGGCCAATCCATGTGTGAAAATGATGTCTCATGCTCCCTGAACCACTCTTTCACAATTTCAGCCTGATGAATCCTGGCATTGTCATCTTGGAATATGCCCGTGCCATCAGGGAAGAAAAAATCCATTGATGGAATAACCTGGTCGTTCAGTATATTCAGGTAGTCAGCTGACCTCATTCTTTGGGCACATAACGTTGCTGAACCTAGACCTGACCAACTGCGGCAACCCCAGGCTTGTACGGTAGGCACTAGGCATGATGGGTGCATCACTTCAGCCGCCTCTCTTCTTACCCTGATGCGCCCATCACTCTGGAACAGGGTAAATCTGGACTTATCAGACCACATGACCTTTTTCCATTGCTCAAGAGTCCAATCCTTATGCTCCCTAGCAAATTGAAGCCAGTTTGGCCGGTTAGCCTCACTGATAAGTGGTTTTCTTAAGGCTACACAGTTGTTTAGTCCCAATCCCTTGAGTTGCCTTCACATTGTTCGTGTGGAAATGCTCTTACTTTCACTACTAAACTTATCCCTGAGTTCTACTGTTGTTTTTTCTACGATTTGATTTCACCAAACGTTTAAGTGATCGCCGATCACAATCATTCAAGATTTTTTTCTACATTCCTTCCTCGAAGATGATGATTTCCCCACTGTCCTTCCACTTTTTAATAATGCGTTGGACAGTTCTTAACCCGATTTTAGTAGTTTCAGCAATCTCCTTAGATGTTTTCTCTGCTTGATGTATGCCAATAATTTGACCCTTCTGAAACAGATTAACATCTTTTCCACGACCACAGGATGTGTCTTTTCGTATAGAAAATGCTATCACCCTGCTGGAGGCATTTGGCCATTTTGAAATCATTCTTAATGGTAAAGTTACCATTTTTAGGACGTATGAAATTGTGAATGTCTTTAACTCTGTCAAGGGATCAAAGAAGAGGAGAACACACCATTCATCTTCCTGCTTTTCTGAGTCATGGTCTAACGCAGACTCAGACTCAGAACTAGAGAAAAAAAAGAAGAAAAGAAGGAAGCATAAAAAGCATCTGCCTTTGGGAAGAGAGGTATTACAGTTTATTTGTACATAATGTCCAGACTGGGAAGATCTTTTTTTTTGGCATCATTTTCCAGAGTAAATGTATATATTTCATATTATCTCTGTATTTTCTCGGGAATCATTTAACACATACAGACTTATTCACACTGTATGAAATATTTGATGACACTCTTTCAATCTTCAACGGTGCAGAATCATAATTACTCTTAAACAGAGTCCAACTTTCTCCACCTCCTTTTTCACGTAACATCTACTGCTGGAGTTCAACATATAATAGGCTCTGATGCATGGTTACATTGTTGCGTTCACAGTAATCTCAAATTAGAGTATTTGTTGACATTGATGTGCCTATAATGCGTCACTAAAAGTTGTTCTTTTGTTTGCTGTAATTATCGTAATAGTTTATTATAAAAGTTTTGTTGAGTTATAATTTAGGTGTTTTTTGTGGCCTGTTTTGTGTTCTGTAGTGAATTGTCCAGAGGATGTCGTACATCGATACAAGACAGTACTGAAAGAATTTCAGTGAACCAGGAGTGTCACCGTAAGCTGTGAGAAACTGAATGTCAACAGAAACACCATTGCACTGACTGCTGTTATAGCAGAAGTCATCATCGCTGTGCAAGAGCAAGACATTGGGCCTCTTCCTGAGTTCAGAGAAAACGAAACACTAAATAATTTTGCTCAAAGATGCAAGGCCTTTCTGGATGGCAAAGAGGAGCTCAGGGAGAAAATCAAAGAGCTGAAAAAAGGTCAGAGCTCCTCCCAGTAAAGCAAAAGTTTCGTAAATGAAAGGTAAAAATCTCGCTGAGCTTTTCCTTGTGTGCCTAGAAATACTTACCATCGAAGTTTGGCTGTTTGACATTTATTGAATCTTAAAAGAATGCTTGTCTTATTTTCTGATGTTCTTTAGGTTACGAAGTGTAAGAATGTCTTAATTCCTACAAATTACTGTTTAGTTCTTTTCACATAATTTGTAGTATAATGTTTAATTGGTACGATTTTCACTTCTCAGGACAGAGTACCTAAGTGTGAATAATATTTTGTCTGAGATAAAAGATTTCTTTTACAGGGCAGGTTGGCTGCACTTACCAAATATACTGAAATGTTCAGTTACGTATGTATTGTTTACATTAGAAAAGCTTCAAGAACAGAGTAAAATCATGGTCATTTGTACCATTTCCTTTTACAACACAGTTTGACCATAGATACCTGGTAAAGTTTAATATTGTACATTGTAATGTACAGGAATTATTGTGTCAAAAGTCAGAGTTGTCAAAAGGCCTCAATAAACAGGTATTACCATTGTGACGAATCCTGCTTTCTCTTACAGTCCATTTACACTTGTATTACAAGTGGCAGTTTTTCTGAACTTTGTGGTAAGAACCCAGTAAAACCATAGAAGGAGTCCCTGCTTTCTTTTAGAGTTCAGATTCAGTTTTGTATCTAGGTAATAGACAGATACATACTATTTAAGACCCTACAGATCTGAGTGACCTGATCTCCTACTCACATCCAGGTAAATGCATTATAACACATAGATACATACTCTCTAATATTGACAATCTAGTACCTGTGTCAAACACAAGAACCTGTGAGACATTTCATAGTAATTCATTCAGACTATCCTGGTACTTAGCATCTAATTTCCTAAAATAATTACCCAGTACTTTGGAATTTATACCTTACCCTTACCTGGGTACTACCTAGAACCTGTGAGACATTTCGGTGTAATTAATTTAGACTATTCTGGTACTTACCATCTTATTACCTAAAATAATTACCTAGTACTTTGGAGTTTGTACCTCACACTTACCTGGTTAATATCTAGAACTTAGGGGACTGTAAAAGAAAGGATTACCCGATTATTATACAAGTGAAAGAGGTTGTAGTTTGCTGTACTTTGAAAGAATTGAAATTCGAAGGTAATTTAATGGCTTATCCACTAAAAATGTCAATGCAAATGAATGCTTTGTGATTAACCTATGAGCAGCTCAGTATACCCATACTTCTGACTCACATTTTTATGGAAGTCCATTCCCACCAGGTTGGAGAAAAAGTCTGCATTCCAAACTGCACACTAAAGCACTAGATAGTGAGTAAAAATAGTGCACCAACATTGGAAGCATATTTATTAGTGTAGTACATAAACTATAGCAGTGTGTGATTTGGGACACAGCCAAAAACATTTTTATCCTCTGATTCTGGTTCAAATTGTAACTCATTAGGTTGAAATAATGACTTTTCTCAAAATTTTGGTTATTACTCTGTGAGAAAGTGCATGATTATTTCAGCATAATATATAACTAATTTGAGAAAATAAGTTATTTCACAATGTTACAAATATATAACTGAGACTATACGTAATGTTTTTGATGATCTGTTTGGAAACACGGTGGTTTGGTGGTTTGAGTTCTGTGCCGAGTACATTTAGAAATCTTGTGGCATTGTAAAATCCGTGATTAATCACTGTTTGATTGGGAAGTGCATGATTTTGACTTATGGTGAGCACATCCTCTCAGCTCTGAGCATCAAAGTTGAAAATAAATAAATGTGATAAACTCTCTCTTTTTGTGGACACCGTGCTAAGCAATTACGCAATCCTAAGCCGGCAGAGAAATGGAAGTTGGCTGTGGGTCCAGTACAGCGAAAATGGCAGACGGCTCATTGCACGTGTTGACATTAGCTTGTAAGTTTCTCTGCTATGTCCAGGCATGCTCCCGCATGCTGAGAGAGGCACATCAGATGGCTGGAAGGTGACCACCACCCAGCTCAGGTCAGTCATAGGTGGCCAAATTAAGCTGTGGAGGAGAAAGTGGCTCCTGGTTCACTCTGGGGGGTCTGAGCCAAGTACCTATATGAGTTTTGGCTTGCACCCATATGGGAGACACGCATTCTCAACGTGGATTTCCTGGCAGCAGTTGTGGCCTTGCTTGATTTCGGGAAGGAAACGCTGCAGCTAGTGGTATGGCTGGGGTGAAGAGTAGGGGGCAGGACGTGCGAACAGCAGTCTTACCAGTATTATTAGCAAGGCAGACAACAAAGAAAGTTGAAGGTGGTGATGAGGAGCTGTGTTGCTTCCGTTGCTGTTCCTGATAGCAGCGGACCTGATTTTTCCACCTCTGTTAATTTTCTGTTGTCCCTCTCTTTCAGACAGGTGCACTCGAGGGTCAAATGTTCAAGAAGACAAAGCAGCTGGTAAGCTTAAGCGAGCAACAGCTGGTGGACTGCTCCCGGAGTTTTGGAAATGAGGGCTGTCAAGGTGGTTTGCCACACAATGCCTTTGAGTACATCAAGTACAGGCCTGGAGAAAGCGAGCACCTATCCATATCAGGCCAAGGTGAGACTACCAGATTTAATGATGCCAATATTTTTATTAAAACATCGAAATTCGTGTTCCTGATTGTTTTCATCTCTCCTCAGGAGGGGACATGCAGGTTTAATAACCAGAAAACTTGGGCTACCTGTTCTAACTATAAATGGGTGGGGCCCACAGAAGACGCTCTGCACTCCGCAGTGGCCACAATCTGACCTATTTCTGTAGCTGTAGATGCCTCCTGATACAGCTTCCAGCTGTATGAGTCAGGTAACCCTGAAAAACCTGTGGTACTCATTAGCATATTCTGTCATTGAAGCATACATGAATGAATCGACCATTTGCAAAATAATAATTAACCCATTAACTTGTTGCTCCCTATGTTTAGCTCTGCATAACATGCTATGACTTTGACTTTGTAGGTTTATGTGAGAATACAGGATATGCATGTTTATAAAGACAATAATCTACACTTGTTAATAACAACCCCTGAAATTTGTTCTTTAGACCACTCTGAATATCACTAGCTAAATCATATTGCAAATCTATCATTGGCAGGTAGTTAGTGCATAACTTCACCTTGTTCCAGCCACTTATCACAATAAGCATCGTATTGAATTCTATTTAAATAAGGTTTCTTGATTTATTGGCAAGACCAGGGTCATTTCTGTGTGGAGTTTGCATGTTCTCCCCGTGTCTGCGTGGGTTTCCTCCGGGTACTCCGGTTTCCTCCCACGGTCCAAAAACATGCAGTCAGGTCAATTGGACGTGCTAAATTGCCCCTAGGTGTGTGTGTGTGTGTGGATGTATATGTCTGTTTGTCTGCCCTGCGATGGACTGGCGACCTGTCCAGGGTGTATCCTGCCTTCCGCCCGATGACAGCTGGGATAGGCTCCAGCACCCCACCGCGACCCAGAAGGATAAGCGGTTTAGATGATGGATGGATGGATGGATTTATTGGCAAAATTATGTTCACCACATATTCTATGTATTGTTAATGTTTTAAAAATTAAACTTGCCTGATCAGAAACAGCTTGTTCATTTAATATGTAGGCTTCCACATGTACTTTCAGCTTAAACTAAATTGGTACATAAAGAGTTGAATAATTAATTAAATTAGACACTCTAACTGGACAGTGTAGAAAAATTGAAGAAAATGAACAAATAAAATGGGTACACAGGCAAATATAGGTAAAAAATGGAGTAAAATGGTGGAAAAATTAGCACTGAATAAAATAAATATAAAGAGTATCTCACAAGTAAAGAAACAATCAGGACACAATCAGTGTTAGTCCATTTCACCAACACATTTCACAACATTTCCTGATTTCTCAAACCGTTTTTATTTTATATGGGTGTTTCCTTACTTTTAAAACACTCTTTACTGTATTTGGAGGTGTGGTTTAAACATTGTGTAAAGTAGGTTGCATTTCTACAGCCCTGCCTAAATGCACATTTTATCATTTGCACTTTTTGAATTCATAATTTACATATTTTGAATGACTGCAGGTGTATATGATGAACCAAACTGCAGCAGCACCAACCTGACTCACGCTGTTCTGGCTGTTGGTTATGGCATTGAAGGTAACAGACTAGACTACTGGTTGGTCAAGAACAGGTTAATGAACAAGTTAATGAAACACCCAACATTCATGATCATAATGAATCCAGGAAGGTTAAATAACATGCAACACTTTTGGGACACTTTTTGGGTGATGTGCTTTATTCAGAAGACAAAACCAATATTGACAGTCATTTGTTTTGCAGCTGGGGTGTTAACTGGGGTGATAAAGGCTACATCAAGATGTCCAGGAACAAGGATAACCAGTGTGGTATTGCCACATATGCTGTCTACCCTGAGGTTTAAAGGTATAACATCATTAAAGGTGGTTTCATTCTTCATCCACAGAAATTTACACTCTCAGAGTGTTCAGAAATAAAGGTACTAAACTGTCACCTCTTTTAACTGGGATGGGGCCCTCAAGGGTAAATCTCAGTACCTTTAGTCAGGGAACATAACTTTACCATAATCCACTGAAACATTTTCTAAGTTGTATTAACTCCACACACCCCGTCTCGTCTCCAGGCTTCTTATTTTATTGTACTGTTTTAAAACATTAGGTTATGAAGAGGTACAAATACATACTTTGAATGAGACTTTTTTAAACCAGATTGAAGGTGCAAGTGATTATCAGTTTGAATGACCATTGGAAACTCCAACAGTCAAAAGTTCTTTTGATCCAGAAACCCAAAAATTTTTAAGCTACAACCATTTACATTGCATATATTTGCTGTTTTCCATAGCATTTCCTATTAAACATCACTATCTCTTGACGTTACAATGATCCTGAAGAGCCCAAATCTGAAGATTTCTGCATAATAAAGTTCACCTCCTGCAGCCATCCAAGCATTGGCCCTATCATCGGGAGATTGTGAGTGATGGCACAGCCATTCCT